AACTTTGCACTTTATGAAATGTTTTTTTTCTTTTGCTCGATTGTGGACTCCTTCCCGTGGGAATACATAGATGAGTAATCTTTTAAAGATTGTTTCTTCTTCTTCGAGTTCTCCAACGAAGAGACTTTTTGCAGTTGTAATTGCCTTGATCAAATCGAATATATTCCTTTGATTCAATTCTTATTGTGCCCATGGCTTCAGGCCATTGAGAAAGCTAAATAACTTATCTTTCTTAGACATATCTTATATCTCTAGCATCAGTGTTGAAAAATGCTTTACGTAGTCCTGAATAGAAGTGCTTTGGCAGAGTTGTCTTAGCTTCTTTCTTGTGATGAACTCAATGTTCTCGAGTAGGAATTAAGTTCTTAACTCTTATTTTAAATCCTCTCATGTTGCCACTTAACATCAAACTTGTTGGATTTCTTCCTAATGTGTTCGCCATCAAAGTTTTACGTCCCCATTTAGATATATAGTTGCTATCAAAACTTTGATTTCTTTATAATCGAGCCTCCTAGCATGCATGGAGGTACTATTTCATATTGAAAAGAAAATTCTTGAGTTTTTTCGCATCCCTAGCACCCCCATAGCAATACGACTTACGCACCCTCAAATTTTGTGACGAATTAACATAGGTATTGTTTTCTCATACATTAAGAGCCATTGTGAGCAGTATAATCCTAGATGTGAGTTCTGTCACAACTTGTGTAGGTGTTGCATGAAGTGTTTGGTGTCTTCCATTAATTAATCAACTTAGGACTCGACCTTGTTAATATAAGATTTCGCTTCCTCTTATGAGTCTTCTATCACAAGAAGCTTTTGTTGACCTCAGTAGAGTTTCTCTAGACTCGTTTCGAGAACATCAAACTAAGGTTCTATAGCTATAAAGCCTCTCCTTATAGCTTCTCTTTTGGATTAACACCTCAGATTGCATTTCCTCTGCTTGCGGAGAATGTCCAACTTCTCACTCACCATTTTCGTTGTTGTGCTCCTCTTGAGCAACTCTAGGAATTTCATAGTGAGCTTGTACTTGCAACCACCTATAGCTACTTGGGGCAATGGTCCGACTTGCTCCAACTTTATCGATTTGCCATGGTGCTTCACCATGGCGAGATTGACAACTATTTACTCAAATTGCTTATTTACTCTGATATTAAAATATCACGAACTTAGCTGAAATTGCCTAAAGTATAAGATACCCCTGTGTTATAAAGGGTCAACCTAGTTGTAATCTCACTCAAGTCCTGAAGGATCTATAAAATAGTAATTTAATTAGTTCCAAATATGAGCGACAAATGAGTCTCGATATCTTATAAAGAGGGCATCTTTATAAGTAATTTAATAAACACTTGATATGCAAGAGAGAAAAAAAAAAGGAAGGAGAAAATAAAGACTTTAGAAGATAAATAAATAGTCACTAAGTCCATAAATAACTACTCACTGGGTGTCAAATATATTGACAAGTCCCTATAAGCTTTACATGCAAACTTGTGAACCCATTCAATGCCCAACACTACCGAAACTCCTATATAACCTTATGCCACCTAGGTGGTTTTAGGGTATTGAGATGACTAACATTTCATACTACATCGTAACTTATAGAAAATAAGTAATAACATACAAAACTTAGCCATACTAGAGCAAATTTATCCATTTTACTGAGCAATCACTCTATAGCCCTACAAAATATTCCTACTCATAGTTTATAAGCAAAAAATAAAAATAACATAAAACACATTATCAAACATACTATAAACAAATAAAAGTGACAAACAATATTGACAAAGATGTTGCAGGTGCACAATAATCATCCATGACACTATATTGGTGTTAAAAATTATCTTTTCGAGTGATTCAATTATATGAGTGTCACGGGCCATCTCCATGGGTGGTTTGACTCTATTTGTGTCAAGAATTGTCTCTTAATGTAGCTCGACTATGTTAGTGTTGGGAGCCACATCTTCAAGCAATCCAATCATGTTGGTTTTGAGAATTATCTCTTTAGGTATTTCAACTATGTTTGTGTTAGGAGCCACTCTTTTAGGTAGTTCAAATGTGTTAATGTTGGGAGCCTAGGTGTTTCAGTCGTGTTAGTATCAAGGGCTACCTCTTTAGTCGATTCGACTATGTTGGTGTCGGGAGTCAGATCTTTAGATAATTTAATCATGTTGGCATCACAAACACCTCTTCGAACAGTTTAGTTATATTGGCATCAAGAATTGCCTTTTTAGATATTTTGATCATATTAGTGTTAATAGTTATCTCTTTAGATGGCTCGATCGTGTTGGGAGCTACCTCTTCGAGTTATTTGCTCGTATTGGTGCAAGAATTACCTCTTTACGTGGTTTGACCATGTTGATGTTAGAAGCCAACTCTTCGAGCTATTCAACCACATCTTTAACGGTTCAATTATATTAGTGTTGGGAGCCACATCTTTGAGTAATTTAGCCATGTTGGGGTTGAAAACTAAATCTTCTAACGATGTTGTTGATGCTCAATTATGTCCAAATATGACTTTATCCCACTAAAGGGTGGTATGATACCATTGCAGCCATTTATGTTACTGCTCAGCCTCAATGGTAGCTCTTATGCTTAAATTATTTATAATATTTTTTTAATGAACTCTCTATCTAGCTCTATTTAAAGCATAATTTGGTTTAGGATGTGAATACGGATTTCGATCTTATTTCGATTTAAGTCAAAGTTTGTGGCAACTTTGATACTTAAGTCAGCAAGGAGTTTAGTGGATTTGGTCAAGTACCAAATCTAAGTGTTGAAAAAAGTTAGGACTTGATATCTCTAGCTATTTTGTTCAAGTCACACCATGTTATTGGCTATTGTTTATTTTATCTTTATTTGGAGAATAAGACGTGAATGAAGTTAATATACTTAAAGAGTATATAACAACGTAAGTAAGTGATAGGTACAAATATATCATTTAATATAATATTTTATTTTATTTTTTTTTAAAACACTATTAAATTCTCTTCCTATCTGTAAAATACAGACAGATACTTTACCTAACAATAAAACATAGAATTAAGATTGTATAACATATAGTCATCCAACATAAATGCATGATCATATCTTTCATAAATCTTCACATGAATCATTTAGAAATAATTGCAAGAAAGAATAAGAGGATGTATGGAGTCCACAATATTATTGAAGGAAGACAAATATGTGTCCTTCACAAGTCTTCATTTAGCAGCTCCTCCTCCTCGCTGCCTATAAACAACTCATTGCATACTTGTTCGTAGAAGCTGCACACCAGTTCAACAAAAGCAGGCGACCTCAAGCTGCTCCAATGGTGAAGCAGCTCCTCGACGTTGACCAGATCCTCCACCCTGCCCTCCTCCGCCAGCATCTCCGCCAGGCAGCTCCGGAAGCTCCGGCACGCCGCCTCCACCTCGTCGAGCCCCTCCTCGGGCTCCCTCGGCTGGAGACTCGCGAGCTTGACGTAGGCCGGAGTGATGGGTGACGGGAACGGCGCGCGGAACCGATCTCGTTCCGTCATGCTCCGGAGCTCGCCGAGCCTGTCCAGCTCCTCCGGCTGCCTCGAGGTGCAGAGGGTGAGCCGGAAGGATCGGAATTTGCCGCTCCAGCAGCTCCTCCTCTCCCCCCCGCGGCTGAGGCTTCGGAACCTCAAGGCTCGTATGGAGAACGACCGCTTGAAGGGCGGCCTGAGGAGCCATGAGAGCTTCCTCCATGTCCGGAGTAGCTTCGAGTCGCAGGAAACCAAGTCTATCATCCTTGGAACTGTCGATGGAGGGCGCTGCCGGTGATCAGGAGGCTATGGAATGGCTACTTTGTTTCGCTTTCCCAAGGATCTCTAAGTTGCAGTTAAGTTGGCGTTCGACATAGACATGCATGTTTATGTATACACACAAGAGAGGGTGGTGGTGGTCACGTACTTCTTCTCATGGAGAGAGTGGGTAGCCATGATCAAGACCTGGGTTGCATGTTTGTAGAGGTGCACAGCTCTCTCTCTCTCTCTCTCTCTCTCATACATAAGAGAGGGTGGTGGTGGTCACGTACTTCTTCTCACGGAGAGAGTGGGTAGCCATGATCAAGACCTGGGTTGCATGTTTGTAGAGGTGCACAGCTCTCTCTCTCTCTCTCTCATACATAAGAGAGGGTGGTGGTGGTCACGTACTTCTTCTCACGGAGAGAGTGGGTAGCCATGATCAAGACCTGGGTTGCATGTTTGTAGAGGTGCACAGCTCTCTCTCTCTCTCTCTCTCTCTCATACATAAGAGAGGGTGGTGGTGGCCACGTACTTCTTCTCATGGAGAGAGTGGGTAGCCATGATCAAGACCTGGGTTGCATGTTTGTAGAGGTGCACAGCTCACTCTCTCTATCTCTCTCTCTCTCTCTCCTCTTCGAGTGGGTAGCCATGATTGCGATGCCTGCCATGGGAAGGCTGCACTCTTAAGCAACACCCTTTCGTCCTCAACAATACATCCAATAAAATGATGTCTCATCTTATGCTATCAGTGGGGTCGACATTAATTATTGTTCGCGTGTCATCTTACCATCCATTGATAAGTTGGAATCTTATTATATCCACGTAGTTAGGTGAACACATGGCGGCCAGTGATGAGTTCGAAGGGAAAATTTTGAGGTAGCTTTGACATTCGTGCAATGTGATTGATACAGATAAGGATCGAGATTGACTGTAATTATGTAAATATCAAGTAATATAATGCGGATTATAAATTGGACATCTTATTTCAGATGAAGTGATAGATATTGGATTCCACCTCTTCATAATGATAGGAATATTTATACAGGAAAAAGAAAAAATTATAATATAAATAGTAATTGCTCGACCATATTTTTAATTCCATGCATTAATTGTCTAAAATGTCATAAGATAATAATAATAGGGGCCTAATAAAATCAATCGGATCAGGATCCGCATCCGGTTTTAATGGGACCCGTATCAACCATAAGTCCTCTCTGTTAAGTGAAGCTCGCTCCACGCGGCGGTCCCGGTGACCGCGGGTTACATCCACCGAGCGGTGACGGGAGTCGATTACTTCCTTGCGACGTTGCTTACCGAGCGCGGTCGAGTCACCGCCTCCGCTATTGATCCGTCGCCTCCTCTCGACGCTTGCTCTCCGACACGGGGAAGGGGGGGGGAAGAAGGGCTGATGGGTTCGACATGCGTCTTTGTCCTCCTCTGCCTCTTCGGTCTCTCCGCGGCCGCGGCGGAGAGATTGACCCCGCTGATCGAGGAACTCGGGCGGCCGAGCGCCGTAGCAGACATCTTCGACACCTCCAACTACGGGAAGTTGCAGCTCGACAACGGATTGGCTCGGACTCCACAGATGGGGTCTGCTTCTTTGGTTCCTTCTTCGTCTCTTCTTGATCCCTTGTTTCGTGGTTCGGTTTTACGCGGATTTTGATCTCGGTGTGAAGCAAATGCTCTCGTCTTCCAAATCTTCGTATAGGGAAAGGGTTCTTGATCGACTCTTTTGTCTAAAGAATTGATGGTTTTTGGTTTTCGTGGGTTTCGTCTATTTGGCATTGGTTTGGATAAGTTTGTTGACGAAGGGAATTTTGTGGATGCAGATGGAACAGTTGGAATTTCTTCGCTTGCAATATCAACGAGACGGTCATCAAGGAAACAGGTCTGACCACCGATCGCCTATGTTTATTTGGATAGGGTGCATATTATGATCAATCGATGCCCTTCTTCTTTTTTCTTGCAAATAATTTGTATAGTTTAATAGATTCTATAGTTGGCAACCATAAAGTAATCTCGGTTGAACATATGGAGTTCAAAAAAGATCGAAGTGGGTCAGAAGTTTTTGTTTGTTACTCCTTCTTGAACTCCTATATGGAACTTTCTCCATTCTCTAACTATAGTCTTAAAATGTTCCAAATATCATAAATCTTTGGTTCATGCTTAAAATTAAAGCAAGAATTCTTCTTTACTAGGATATTGAGTAAGTTATTTAATACTAAGATCGGTATCACGAAAGAAGCAAAACAGATACAACTTGGTGGTCTGTTTCTTGAGAAGGAGAGCCTATTTTCATGGCCAACCTGTTTATGAATTAAACAAGAGAAGCTTGTTTCTACCGGTTTCCTAGATTCTTCTCAAGCTCGGGAAGGCTTCTAAATGACAACTATTGAGGTGAATATTTCTATGCATCCACCGACGTTGTAGGTTTTATTTCCTCCGAAGAGAAAGTCAAGACATCCATCGCCTAAAACTTTCTTTTGCTAGGAACATGGGACCAATTTAGAGGATTCTAAAACCATTGTTCTTGATTATGGTTGTTGTATTGTTGGAATTATAAAATGTAGATCACAATATTTTCCATCATGCCTTCATGCCAAGCACCAGATGTGCTGACTCCTACAGGATTAGGCTGTGCCAACACTGTTTTGGCACACCTTCATAAGCGCAATTTATGTTGGGATGGTGCATACTGACTAGCACTAGCCATGGAGTACATGTGCAATGCTCAGTAAAACATAGCAACTCAATCAATGATTGATGAAACTCATCCGATCTCGATGACAGACATGAGGTGCATCAAGGATGGGCTAAGCATGTGCTCAGATGTTATGATGCAATCTTTGGTTTGCTTTTGCATAAAAAGTGGGGCATTCATATTATATATGTAAAGCAAGCACATAATCCACATTGGTTGTAATATGTTGTGAAAGTAGTCAAAATGCATTGCATATAAATTTTTGTAAGAAACTCCTGATAAATCATTTTTAGTGCCTCTGCTGCTTTCTTGCTGACATAATAGCATGACTTAGCTGTGCATATCACTTGCACTATATTATGTCACTGTGGCATTACATGTATTACTTTTCAGATTTTTGTTACCTAGATTTTCACAGTATATATTGTTCTTGCTGACAATTTCTCAGTGGACTTTGAGTAATTCATCAAATAGTAGATGGATAGATTGCTTAGCCTGAGTTGCAAAATTTGTTGTTTGTTGCTTTCCAGCTGATGCTCTCGTTTCGACTGGACTGGCTGCTCTAGGCTACAACTACGTTAATATAGGTAATTCCTGAATTGACCTTCTCACCATTGACTATCCAAATTCATTATCTTTTCGATACCCTTATTCTTTCATATTTTCAAACAGATGATTGTTGGTCTTCTGCAACTCGAAATCTTGAGGTTTGTTTTATACTGTTATTCTCTCCAAACATTCTCTTTTTATATATTCTTTTAAGTAGTTGACCTTATCCTATATATATGAGCTTTCTTTATTTGGAATGCAAATGGAAATTATATGTTAATAACTCAGCATTGATGTATTGTTAAATTGTTCATTTAACCATAATCAAAATGCTTTATGGCCCCTTTCCCGTCCCTCTTCTCCTTTGTGAAAGGCTAAAGTATAGGTTTTGATTTTAAATTAAACTAGTGGCACTTTCCCTGTCAAGTCCATGGAGTACATGAAAATCAATTGGGGGCTATTGAATTTTAGATTATCAGGAACAATACCACTATCATCTGGAGGAAGTCATGGGACAGTCTGCAGCTCTACCATTTGCCGAACAGATCTGCACCTGGCGTATCCAAGATATGAGAACACAGAGCATACTTAAGCTAATTAATCATGTATGCTCTGTGTTCTCATATCTTGGATACGCCAGGTGCAGATCTGTTCGCATACTTTTAAATATATATGTTCAATACTTCAATTAGAATTGGTAAATTTTTAATCAATCAAAATGAGAGTCTACTCAGATTATCCTCAAAATGGAGACTTTAAATTCAAGTTTTAAGCATGATATCAGATTTCTCAATAATTATTGCCATCAGGTCATAAATGAAGAGGAAAAGTTGGAAGAGGAAAAATCGTTATAGTTCTCCAGTACATTGGATAATTTATAAACCTCCATATCCATTTTCATGATTGAAATTTCTAATTAGCCTGTATTCAGTGATTTGGCTGTGGATCTATTTCCTGTGTCATCCCTTGTGTAGGATAATTGCTCAAAAATGAGTGTGTTTTATGCCTGCATTCTGATGCTTGTTTTCCTACCTCCACACACATTTTAAGTTGTCTCATACCAACTTTTTTGGATATTCAGGGGGAACTGGTTCCTGATCCACAGACTTTCCCTTCAGGCATCAAAGCTTTAGCAGATTATGTGCATCAAAAAGGCCTCAAGCTTGGTATCTATTCCGATGCTGGGTAGGATGTTAACTACTTAAGCTAATTAAATATAGGACATTGACTAGGTCCTTATGAGGAAAATAAAGTTCTACGACATTATAACTAATAGCTGGTTTCTCAACCATAATACTACTCAGACTCCTTAATCATTCTCTCCTAGAAATTTTTCTCTTAATCAAAGAAAATTTTCAGGATGTTCACATGTCAAGTTCGACCTGGATCCCTATACCATGAAATGGATGATGCAAATCTTTTTGCCTCATGGGTGGGTATTACTGCATTCTTCGTTGGAATTTCTGAATGTGCAAACTCTTGGCTTTCTTTCTAATGAGCCTTATATTATGATGGAATTTTTTTCCTTATGTAACTATTTACTGTGTATTGATGCTATTATTTGCTTGATTCTTCAGGGAGTTGATTATTTAAAGTATGATAATTGTTTCAATTTGGGAATAAAACCAGAGAAACGGTACAACTAATCTTACATGTCTACAGTCATATATGTGTTAATTAACAGATATCATTTATTGGCAAACTTGGATTTTCTATGATAACTCCTTTTTCTAGTTACCCCCCAATGCGTGATGCATTAAATTCCACTGGGCGCGCTGTTTTCTACTCTCTTTGTGAATGGTAAACTTCTTTGTCTTGATTGCTGACATTTGTATTCGGCATGCGATTACTCTTAGAGTTATTTTCTTTTGCAGGGGTGTAGATGATCCGGCCTTATGGGCTGAAAAAGTTGGGAATAGTTGGCGGACAACAGATGATATCAGTGACTCATGGGTAAGGTAAGTTTTATTTCCCAGATTTTTTCATACAGGCTTAAAATGTTGCATTTGGATAACTGATAAGCTTATGATTATTTCTAGCATGACTACCATTGCTGATCTAAATAATAAATGGGCTTCTTATGCGGGACCTGGTGGATGGAATGGTACATTGGTCTAATTAAATCCGTTTCTGTATGATGTAATCCCTAATTTGATCTTCAATCAAATTACAGTTTAATCTGTCATAACTTGCCTATACATATTGCCTCCTTGACAGACCCAGACATGTTAGAGGTTGGCAATGGTGGCATGACCCATGCAGAGTATCGTTCACATTTTAGCATCTGGGCTCTGATGAAGGTCACTTTTATATCCGACCAATTATTGGTTCTTTTTCTCTTTGCTTACAACAGTATTTTATCGTAGCTTTATCTTCACCATGGTAGACATTGTTGGTTCAAATTTAAGGCATTGACTAACTCAAAATGGCTGAAGTACCTGCTGGATATTCAATAGCATCGAGATGAATATGTTCTGTGATGCAAGTGTTGTTGCAGATAAAATTTTATCCAACCTGGCCATTGGTTGCATAAAAGAATGTCCGAAGCTCTGAGCCATCATTTTAATGCTCAGTTACTTTGTCTTAACATTCCTGATCATTACCAACATTTGCAGGCTCCTCTTTTGCTAGGTTGTGATGTGAGAAACATGGCTGCTGAAACATTTGAAATCTTAAGCAATGAAGAAATTATTGCTGTAAACCAAGGTAACACTTTTCTTGCTGGTCTCTTTAACTCATACAAGTCTTCATTCCCCACTAAATCTCTGTAGGTGAATCATCAGAAGTCACTGGATGAGTATTAAAATTCGTGTATGTTGTATCTGAGGGATGAAATATTGCATGGTGTTTTAGTATTCAAGTAGGTCCTTAGTTTGTATTAGGGAACTATCAATTCTACTGTACACCAAAGCATGTCAAATTTGACTTTTATATATCTGTCTATATAAGGTTAGTATTATTGAACCTGTACTTATCTTTGCTTACTAATAAATTTTTCTTTAATTTAGTAAAGCATCATGAATTGATTCTTTCTTAACGAACGGTTGAACTCCATTCTTCTTCCTGCAGATCCTCTTGGTGTTCAAGGAAGGAAGATTTTGTCTGAAGGAAATGATGAATGCAGTCAGGTTGCAGCTGTGAAATGCCCTTAAATTTTCTTATATACCAGCTGTTTCTACAGTTTTTACAGCTAAAAACTGCAAAAATGTTAATTCTTAAATATTCATTCACAAGCTTATTATTATTTCAAGAATAACCAAAATCATTAGCTCTGATATATTCTAAAAGAAGAGTATGATAATATTTTTAATAAACCAAATACTCTCAATGAAAATGAAGACAAAAGAGAGAGAGGGAGGGGGGAGGTGGGGTCTGTAATTATATTTAATTTGCAAGGAGTACTTTGCTCATATGTGAGCTATACATTGAAAATTTTACATGCATCAGTTGTATGAGCATGAAAATCAATGGTTTGACGTATGCATACAGAAGCTGCTGTAGAAGGGTATGTTTAATAGGTGTAGGAGTTTAGTTGTCCCACAGAGTGTAGTACTAAGCCATGTTTCAAGCAGAATCTAATCCTTCAATTATTTTAATGACCAACTCTGTTTCTTTGTTCCTTCTATTTAATGTAGTTGAACAGCTTGTAGTCTAGACACTTTTCTGTACTTATTTCCTTCATTTTTTGTTGGCATCTGCACTTGTACAATGTTAACTAACCTTTTAAAATGATACCGGTGCATTACTTATTAAAAATTTTATGTTTAAGTTGATTATAAAATACAAGCCTTGGCAAGATTAATAAGGTTGCTCCTTTTTGACATGGATGACTAGAGTTCAAATCACCAAAACATCCTCTCCGTTCGCAAAAGTTAAAGGCTGTGTACATAAACACTTCTCGGACTTTGCATGATGGAACATCATTCACTGAGCGGCCTTTTGGTTTGAATTGATTATGATGTTCATGGTGCTTTTGTTTTAAACTCGAGGCGTGGCCATACCACTTGACTAATGTGCACATGATCTTGACTATATTATTTTCCTGAATGCTCATGAATTTATGTTTGTTGTTTGTGTTTCTTTTATATTTGTTTAAAAGTGCTTGTCTTAATCCAGGTTTGGGCTGGTCCTCTTTCGGGAAACCGCTTGGTTGTGGCTTTATGGAACCGATGTTCCCAAGCTGTCACAATTACTGTTACATGGGAAACACTTGGTCTCGACAACACAACTTGCTTTTCTGTAAGGGATTTGTGGAAGGTACGTGTAACTTTGTTTACGAAAGGTAACTTGCAGGATCTTGTTTGCTTATGTACTTGCATAAATGATCCAGTATCAATCTTTAAAGGATACCATGAGTAAAATAAACTACTCATATGATGCAAATTGCTCATGTGTCCTATCGACAGCAAGTTCTAGTGGGACTTCAATCTATCCAGTGATAGCTAGTTTGAAGGTTTGCTATTCAGAATAAGTCTTCCTGTTAGAGTTATTAGATTTAGCATTCAGGATCACTCAACACCTGCTCTGGGGTCCATCTGAAACGGGCAGCCGTATCAACCACTGATACAAATTAGGTGCAGTTTGCAGTTTAATGTACCATATCAGGTCAATGGTTCACGTATACTCTGAACCTATGTTTCATCGGTAAATATCTCCTAGACGAAAATAAAGGTTTGAACAATGGTAAGGCAAATCAACCATTGGTCGTGTACTGGGGAGGTTTTGTAGCGAGTTCGACACTAGTAGTAACGATCTTTTGTTCACATCATCAAACTTATTGTTTGGTCCTAAACAGGAAATTGTCAATTCAGGAAAGCTATCTTAGCTATACTTATCTCCTTTTCTTCCTCTCTATTCTTGCTGCATGATTGAATATGATTGACTTATTGTTTGGTCCTAAACAGGAAATTGTCAATTCAGGAAAGCTATCTTAGCTATACTTATGATTGACTTATTGTTTGGTCCTAAACAGGAAATTGTCAATTCAGGAAAGCTATCTTAGCTATACAAACTTATCTCCTTTTCTTCCTCTCTATTCTTGCTGCATGATTGAACATGATTGGCTACATGTTTAACTGATCTAGTCTTGCTTTAACACAGCATGAGACCCTGGAAGGAAACATGGCTGGAAGACTTGGAGCCGAGGTTGACTCTCATGACTGCAAAATGTTCATCCTCTCGCCGCCGTCAACTTCCATCGTTGTAATTTAATCGTCTCACTCCGTACCATGCTCTATCTTGCACAGGACATCGTGTCATTATTCTTATGGATTCTTGAAATCGAATTGAAATGGACAGGACGCTTAAGTCCAACATGTCTTTGTTGAGTAGAAGCATTAGTAGTGTTTGAGGTCATATACAGGCATATTGTCATGTACTCCAAACCATCAACTTGATTCGGGTGAATGCTAATGGCTAATCAAACTGTAGAAGACAAATAAAGAAGACCATGAGAGTTTAGAGCATATGCTTCTCACTCGAGATTCCTACATGTGGAAATACGGAACAACAAGTCGAGTAATTATGGCTACATGAAGTTATGGGAATATGTATGATGGAAACAACTCCATTGTGGCCACATCAATACGTTATCATAATACATACCTGATCATCACATCATCGGCAGACAAGCATGCACATAGCACATTGCGATACCCAAAAACAATCTTAAGGTCTTTGGGTGTACTCTAAACATGATCAGAGCTCAAGTACAATAACAGTCGTAACAAAACCAACAACAGTTAACTCTAAGCAGGAACAAACCATGCTACAGTGAGCCAGAAAGAAGTTTCACCACGCCGTCAAGATTGCGACGACCTTTATCTGGTCCACCAATAATCCCCCAGGCCTCGAACTGCCGTTGCCGAGCCCTTGCCCTCTCCTTCTCCTCTTCTGGTTTGGTTGAGAAGCAATGCGGGCAAGAAACACCATATTCCCATTCCAGGGCTTCCATGTCTGCATCGCTCACAGGTTGCTTACACCCATAGCACAGTTTATATGTTCCTTGCACTAATCCATGTTCAACAGAAACCCTTTTGTCAAACACAAAGCACTCCCCATCCCATAAAGACTCAGCCCTTGGAACTTCCTCGAGATATTTCAAAATCCCACCCTCCAAATGATAAACCTGGAAGAAATTCCAACAAGGATTCAGGAAGCAAGTCACGAATCATGTTTAAGTACATTAAATATGATCACATCTCGTGTTGGGATCCTGGGAGCCAACCCCTTGAAATGATCAGAATTCAGCTTCGAACATACCTCCTTGAAACCTTTGCTAAGGAGAAAGCTTGAAGCCTTCTCACATCTGATTCCACCCGTGCAATACATTGCTACACGAGGTAACCTTGTACGTTCTCGTATTTGAGTCTCCTTCAGTTCACCTATGTTATCAGCAGTGTAATCTGACTGGTGGCTCTCTGTTTTAACCAACTGAAATTGATGGTCCACCCAAGATGGGAACTCCCTGAATGCAGTGGTGGATGGATCAACTGCACCTCTAAACATTCCAATTCTAGTTTCATAGGTATTACGGACATCAATTACCATCTGATACAGCCCAAGAGAAAAACATGGTTGATAGAAGACAATAAGAACATCATCTAGAAGAAAATAAATAAACAAAACTGTGTTTCTGGAACTAAGGTTCATAGTACAAAAAACTGTCATGTCTAAAATTAAAACAGTAGGACAGAACCAGTCAGCAAAAGTACTAGTATTTTCTAGATGTTTGCATTAACACATTGATTCAAAAGAAAACTGGTTTAAGACAACATGTTATATTAATAATAATTTTAGTGAAGCACAGAGGAAACATTCACCAAATTAACCTGAATGAAAGAGCACAAGTGAACGATGGTAATACATCAGACACTTGAGTGACAACAGCAGTTTCACACAAAACTACACAAGAAAACTAAATAAATCGATTTCCAAAATCCTGATAACATAGTGGAAGAAGAATCAACCTGCCACTAGGAACTTCTGAAGTGCACTGGAGGAGAAAATAAAGCTTGCAAAGATTTATATAGAGAGGCTGTGCAGAGGTATTATTACTTTCAATTCTTGCTATATTCCCTTGCTTTCAGTATTCACTCACTTAGTAAGATAGTAAATTAGTAACAGCTAGAAGCATTTCCCAGTTTAGCTGTAATTAAGAAAGATGATCTTATTGACCATTATTTCCACTTCCATTTGTTCAATATGAATAAACAATAAATACATATATATATATATATATATATATATATATATATATATATATATATATATATATATATATATATATATATATATACCGGTAAAGATATATAACAAATTGAAACTTCAAGCTACTCACAGTATCTGGATCACTTATCAACGTGTTCCAATCCTTTGGCTTTACATATTGGCCTACCATCTTGGTAGGCATTACTCTTGGATCTCCAAAAGAAACAATCTAAAAATATGAATACAGCATCATCATAAAACACAATGTGAGTTTTATTTGGAAAAAAAATCAACAAAGTTAGAAAACAAAAAGCTCACAGCTTTCCTCAATTTACATGAGGATGAAGGAAGATTCTTTCAAGTCGACCAACAATACCTCTTGCTTCAGCTTGACTCGAACATGATCCCACCGAAATGGTGCATCTTCACCTGCACCAAGGGGGGAATGGCTAGTATGTCCATGGTGGATTGCCTCATCCTCAGGACTAACAGGTGACTCCACTAATCTAAGGCCCTTCAGTCGCTCATCAGACTGAATAAATTTCAAAACCTTCTCCACTGATGCTGGTGTCCCGCATATGCTGCCGTTTATTCCTTCTGGTGCAAGAATAATACCTCCTGAGACACGCTGAACAGAATCAGCTATGTGAGTTATAATTCCGACTTGCACGAAAGTGTACTTGTGGCAGAAAGAAAGAGAGCATCTACTTTATGATGTTGATGAAACATAAGACAGTCGCGTAGTAAATATAAATGGTAATGTCCTTCTGGAAGGGCTAACAAGTGCAATCTATCTGCTGACCGTCAGTCTTCATAAAGACATTTGTTACCACTCGGTTGACTATCTACCCAAAGGGCCTCACCATTTTATGATTATAAGGTGTTTTGCCATCATCAAACACATCCATCTAACCATTGCCCCTAAGGTGGGAAACATATTCATGGTGATCATCTTGGTGACATTTACTCTTGGCTAGTCAAAGATTCGTGTTTCAACTAGTACATAGATCTCATGTGAATTAATCACCTAAGCTCCTGCTAGTTATTCTTGATGTTTAGACTCTGAACGTTTATAGTTTGGTGGCTGAATCCCCTTCTTCAACAGAATTTACTATTCAACAGTACTTTGATTCTGACATTGATCAACATTCTAATTTTTTACCCTTGTGAAAGTCTGTCACAGTGGCACCTGAAAATATGGGTCCAACACATATATTCATCTATGTCTTCTCATATAAAATCACCTGATTGAATTTGCAGGTTCTGTATTTTGCCATCAAGTAGTAATATCTAATTACCTTCAATTTAAAAGTAGTAGTTAATTGTATATTTATCATAAATCTTACAAAAATGAACATGCTTGCCCTTTTTTACAAAAAAAATGATAGTAGATAGATCCTCTTTTCTTTTAAACAGACATTTATTTCATAACTATTATTACTACATCTCATGGTTTTCTTTATTCATCAAATTTAGAACTCCTTTATGGACCAATATAGCATACTAAAATCCTTAACTATGTGCCACATGCATTAATTAGATTACACCTGTGATGGCCAGAATACAAACCTAGTAAACTTTTTATTCCAGTCTTTAAGTTAACACATGCTGGTACAATTAACCTAATTGGGTTTACTCATATCAACAAGGAATATGGCTTTCCTCTAAAACAATGTATCCTGGGCTGAACTTTGCTTTTCAAGTCAGTGGCATACCCTATTTAGTCAAAATATAGTAAAGGAGCTCATAAGCATCCAAGTCCAAATGAGTTTGTCTTTTCATAAGTGTTGATTTAGGCACTTCTATGGACGCATATTCTTAACCATGAATCTTAACTCTCTAACTAAGATGGACTTGCATTGTCCTCTAAACCTATAGTTTTTTATCCAAATAGCAAGATAAGCATTCACATCGTGTACAAGTCAATCTTTTAATTTAAACAAATAATTTTAATGTTCTACATCTCAAGTAAAATTTCATGTCTACTAAAATTACTCGATTGTTTATACGAACAATATTTTGGGCGGTTAAGTCAGCATATCCTTTACTATTCTGCGATTTCCTTTTCTTCCATTATACTTGGACAGACAAACATATGCATCTGACGTCTATCAACAACAAAAGACAAGAAACATCTAAAATTGTAATTTAAATTCCTCTACTTATTTCCTTCTAGCATGCATTCCAAGATAATAACAAAAGATAAGAACACATCATTAGCATAGATGACGGAAAGAAGAAAATTTTTGCACAGTAGTACATAAAATCTTAGGGATTCCACATCAATCCCCTAAATCTCACATGTGTATATTAGCCCCTGAAATCCCTAATCACGTCTATTCTTGGTTTCGAATCTGCTTGTTCTTTGCAAGCTTTCATAAATAGGAAGCACCCAAAGAAAGGAAATAAACCATTGTGAACAATGACATCCGAAAGATTTCATGAGGTCACACACCATGGCACCAGACATCACTCACATTCAGGAACAGAAAAGAACCAAAAGTACAATTTATATGCTAAGATAACACGAAATCAAAAATTCAAGAACGGTCGGAACGCACGAAGAGGTGAGATATTTCCACTTACCACGTCCTCGCAAAGATCTTTCAGTGGCTGCCGCATTGCGGCATGGTCCGGAAAATCCGCGAACCTGTAGAAGGACACTACCACGAGAAGGGGGGCCGGACCGTCCGCAGCCTCGGACGAGCTCAAGGCGGCGACCGACGAGCTAATTCCCCTGGCTCCAGAGAGGACTCGTGGCGCGGCGATCTGGAGGGTCCGGGGACTCGGAATGAATGGGTTAGGGCCGGAGAGATTGAGGGTGTGGTTGTGGTGAGGGGTCACGGTTTTCTCCGCCCCCGAGGCCATGGGGAGAGGGAATCCACTAGGGTTAGGGTTAGGGTTGGGTTTCACGGAGGGAGGAGAGAGCATTCTCAGTAGAGCCGCGGCCGCGCCCCTACCGCAACTGCTCTTGGAGAAGGCGAGCGGCGGCGAAGATAACATTAGACTCCGTTTCCCACTGATCACAGAGGAAACGCCTTTTTGTGGCTCTTATTGGGTTAGACCCGCTTTCCTAGTGGGCTCCACCCGTTATTTAAACGGGTTAAAACCCATAGCAAATCGGCATTAGAATTGACACCCGGGAAAATGGATTCAAGAAGCAGCATATCGGATCCAAAATTGGACTCCATTAGTAAGCGATTACAATAGTTTCTGCGTGCAGCTTGCACTGTACATGAAGAAGAAGAAGAAGAAGAAGAAGAAGGGTATCTGTAGCCCACTGGCTTCAGAGGTGCAACTCTCAACCTGCAACCTCATAGCCACACAAACTTATACTAGCTTTACACCATGAGAGAACTGTGGGCAAGTCCAAGTCTTCTGAATCTGAGTTCTTCTACAGGAAGAAACAATCAGAGTCGACGCCAAGCAGACTCTCCCACTCAAGCAGGCCCTCCATGAACTCCATCTCCACACTGCTGGTAGGAGCCTGGAACCCGGAAGTCACATCGCCATGATCATGACCTGCAAGTGGAGCAACTGGTGCAGCGACTGCAGGGTTCGAGGTAGCCGCCGGCGATGAGCTGACGGTGGTCAGATTGCTCAGTACCTCTTCATCACACTCCTTTTTGAGAGAAGGATGTGGGGTTTCTCGTGTAATCTTCTCTGAGTCTGCTCCAAAGCTAATCAGATGGGAGGAGTTCCTGGAGTCCATGGCTGAGATGATAACCTGAGGGGCCATGGAGGGACTCTTGCATGTGTGCTCACCCAAGTAGGTGACGATGTAAGTGGAGGGATCATCCTGTGATTTCTGGACCTGCCTGACGGCCATGCAACCTTGATCATGCTTGTGGGTGCATCTGAAGTAGCTCCTGCAACATCAGAACCAGCAGTGCCATCAACTCAGTCCCTCCATTGCCATGACACTCTTGGCAATCTCAAACAGTAGTTTGATGGCAAATAGGAAGTACCTTGGATATTTGGCACTTTGGATAACCTTCTGCCCATATTTCCTCCATGTGTGGCCATCATCCATAGACGATGATATGACCTTTGTCCATGAATATGGTCGTGATCTGCAAGACAAAATAACATATATGCTTCAATATATGTCTAAGAGATGTATCTATACGACACAAAAACTAAGATTAGGTTGCAATCTAATCTAACCTATCTACTATAGATAAGACAAACAAGGAAGCAAAGGAAGTCACCTTCTCCTGCAAAGTCTTCTCCTCTCTCCCACCGAGCTGATCTTACTCTTCCCACCTGAGATCTCGCGCAGCTGATCCTCTCCGGTGTCAGCCACCGCCGCTGTCTCCTCAACGACGGCTAAGGTGAGAGCTCTCGATACCGAATCCATGAGCTCATCGAAGGTGGACTTGGCCGCTGCATGCTCGAGAAACAAAGGTCGTATCATGACGCCGAGATGCGCGGCGGTCTCCCGGATTCTGATCAAGCTCTGGACTGCTGGCCGGTCGGCCACCGATGAGGCCGCTACCTTCGTGGGGGACGACGACATAGCCTGATCGATCCTTCCTCCCCTGTTCACCTAGACGACTTGTCGATTAAGCTGCAAGGGAAATGAGAGGGAGGTGTTCATCTACTTATATGGAGAGTTGTCGTTCTGAAGGAAAATTCACGGAAACACATGGCTAGAGGAAGCTACAAGGAAGAGAGGGCGACGTCGAGCAGTCTAGTTCACAGGCGTCATCTCTATCGTCAGTGGGATGACGACTCGAGGGTGAGCTTACGCTGCAGCCGATGGATACGTCGTGGCGGGTTCGTCGAAATCAAGCACAGCGCAAGTTGGGTGTTCTCATATCCACAAGTCTCGGAAAGTAACAGGAAAAGGAAGCGACTCAAGTGTGAATGCAAAGAGTGCCTACATCACGATACCCTTCTCAGATCAGCAGGTTTCAGCTTTGTCTTCGATGAGTGTCAGTAGAGTTTCTTGCGCGTGCCATAGGTTAACTCTGCATCTGATTGGTTGATTAGATCCGCACGAGCGAGACTTCTTTAATCCTTGGCTTGTGTTCTTTTCCGATGCTTCAATGGTGACAATCTTCAAGTTTCTTCACGGAAGCTTCTTGGAAGGGAATAAAATAGTACAAAACCTATGAGAGCAGGTGGCATTTGTCCATGAACGGACAGAGGAAAAGCCAAGAGTGGGGCAGATGCAGGGGGCGACAAGGCAGAAACAAGTTGCCATGGAGACAAGGAGAACTCTGGATGAGAGAGATCTGTGGACTCAAACCATCATGAGGAGATAAGGATGAGGAATACTGCATCTAACATGCATGAGAAGGTACAATGCGAAGTCCCTTTCAACTTTTAATGTATGAGAAGTTTTCCTCTCTGTGTTACCTTTCAACAGTCTGCTCTTTCAATTCTTTCGGCTTTAGAATAATTTAACTATTGATAAGGACACACACATATATATATATATACATGTATATATCACTAACGGAGTTAGGTGTTGCCACTTGCGACGCACGAGCCCACTTTAGTCTCGCCTCCTACTAACCCGTCAAATCTAACGATTTCCGTCAAATGTACCGTCAAGAATCACGGCTTCACCGTCAAACGCGGCCGTCGTCGAACACCTTTGCGGTGGCCCACCCCTGCTCCTGCTAGAGAAGGCTTTGCTGGGCCTCTCCGAGGAGGTGACGCTCGCCAGCGTCGAATTCAAGCTCCTGATGTACACCAACATGCATCTGATCATGTTCAACTGCGGCTTCCAGGGCATGCTCGAGGCCGCTGACGGTCTTGTAATCTCTGAAAGGAAGTACTCATCGACTCGCGACAAAAGGTGATAAGAAGGCCTTGCTTATTTGATCTGCAACATTGCTCATGTGGAAGAAGGCAAAGCGGGATGTGATGGTACTTCAATGCAGCTCCATGTTCGCAGTGCTGTGTCTGCTTTATGAGTAAAGGAAGATGAGAAGAGAAGAAATCTTGCCTTCCTGTTCTTTTCTCTCCTTTTTGGTGGGATCACAACTCCACAAACCGACCAAATCTTGTGTGCTATGACTAAAGAAAGGATCCAAGAAGAAAGTTGAAGGCACGAAAGCAATAGCAGCAGCAACAACAACAACCAATCCCCACATTTTGGGATCTATCAGGTAGATGATATGAAGCACATTTTAAGTACAATCACGAAGCTTTTCAGCAAAAATCTACAATTAGAGAGCTGGGATTTCCAACCAGTACTACTTCTTTTCATCAGTCCTTTTATTTGTGTATATATGATTGAGAAATTGTGTTAGAGTTTTCTATATATTAATTTACGTTGTTTTAGAGAAAGTTTTAATGTACTTATTTGATGTTTCATGTCTCATTAGTTTATTTGATCCAGTATTCCTCTTCCCTTCTTCCCTCAGGTTTTGCTGCTTATCAGCTAACGAGTACCTTAACCTTGAGCTGCTTGTAATATTAATGGTTTTAAGGTGGGGAGGAAAAAGGGACAGTTGAAAGGCAAAGTAGGTTGGCATGCAAATATACATCTCAATTTAAGAAAGTGAACACATGCATTAGGAAGTGTGGAGAAGCATAATTTCTTGTTATGCCCCCTCCAGAAGGAATCCAGTTGAGAGGGCATTCTTCAGCCCATGTTGCAGCTTGTCAAGGTGAATGCTGCACAAAGATGAAGCTGTGGTTCTTTTCCTGCTTCTTGTTACTTTATTGATGTGCTTGAGAAGGGCAGGGTGGGGAGGATGGTGTGATGATGCACAAGCTTCCTGTCTAATTTATGGTGGAGGAGTGCTACATATCTTGACCTTGGATTCTAGGAGCTAATGAAATAGGGATGGCTTTTACCTTGTGTTGCCCAACATAAGTTGCATTCCTAGAGATCTTGGCCTCTTATTCTAAATCTATGTGAACATTTGCTTTCTAGCAGCTACTCAATGTCTCAGTTGTCCTTGTGCTTTACAGCACCATCATCTTTTTGGAGCCTTCTTGAAATCCTGCTGTTGAAGTCTTTGTCCCTTAAAGAAATCCCAATCTGTGATTTCTGATATATAATTGGATAAGAATCTACTTTTCACTAGTGATGAAAGGATGAGGCAAGAATCCTTGTAGCACCAGACTCTGTTAGGTGCTCCCAATTTCTTCCCCAAGGATACAGACTGCAATCTGATGACCATTAAGATGGCCTAAAGGCCAAAACCATTGTGTGTGGTTGGTCAGTGGCATAGCTTTGTATGTCCAGTGAGACTGCAAGATCATGAGTTGTTGAGAGCAGCTGGGACCTCATAGGTCACCATTAATAAACCTATTGAAGCTACCTGATTCACAGAGTTCATTGAATTCACCTTAAAATTTTAGCCTTCAAAGTTTATTCTTGGTATATAGGTGACATCTTCTTCCTTTTAAAGACCTCATCTTTTCTCCCCTTTGGAAATGATTTAGTGCTCCTGGAGAAAGCTAATAAAGCATCACTGTCTTCTTTGCCTGTTCTAGTACTGCAAAATAAAAGGCTGAAATCTATTTCCTCTTCTTGCCACTCATGAGTAATGTTCCTTGTTTGTGATGAATAGAACCAAATCTAGATGTTTTTTCCTTCAATGTTTTCTAAATGGTGATGAGCTATAGTTGTGAGGTTCTGCTAATATGCAGACCTAACATTAATGTGGTCTACCCTGCAATTTTTTGAGTTGTAGAGCTTGATGCAACTAAATGAAGCTACTGGTTGATCAAACAAAGAACAACAGTGGATAATTTAGTCTCTTTGATAGAATTTTGATTGTTTAGCATTATAGAAAAATACAGATGTTGTCTATAGCATCATAATCAGACTATAAATATTAGTCCCTTTGAAACCACAGTCAATCAAAGGTCATCTGTGAGAGCATTAATCATATAAGCAGGTTTTATGGCCATCCTTGCTAATACATGTGGTCTGTGTGCAATGGTCCCATAGATATCAACAGTGTCATTCTGTCAGACAAAAGATCTAATGGTCACTTTCTAAATTGACTAAACTCCTAATAGCACATACATTTTTCCTGACAGCATTAATAATGTCAACAGTACCAGTCTATTTTATTGAGTGTACTGAAGTAGGACAAGCTGAGCCATCTCTTTCGAGTTTCAACTGTGACCATTGTCTCCTTATGCTCTTATTTGATTTTTTACTTCAGCAAATGCAACACGAACTCATAGACAAAGATTCGAGGACATGTAGTATTTTCCGAGTCATCTTCACTGATAGGGCACATTTTGGATCTCGGCCACGTCATGACCCATGCCACATCACGCCCTTGTCGAGCCATCATGAGGGCTGATTTCCCACGTCGAATCGAAACCCATACAAGGAGGATCCCCCTCGGCAAGTCCCGTCTCGGAAAGCTCGGGATGGCACCGTATAGCGTCGCTCCACGCATACCGGGCGACGGTCGTACGAAGGTACCATCTCGTCACTCGAGGGTAGGTCATCGCACCAAGTCCGCGTATGACCGATCCTCGAACAATAGTATAAAAACCCCTGGTCGGCACCTAGCCAGAGGAAAGGAAAAAGGAGAAAAACAGGACCATTGACTTAATATACAAGGGGAGCAAGTCGGGAATCTCCCCGACCAGGGCCTGTGTGCAATAACTCGGCCACCCTCGGAGGCGCAGCCGTCCCGACCCCTGCCGGCTCCAACACTTCTTCCAACCGATCGAGAACTCCGGACATCGACTCGTGGACCAAGCCATGTTGACTCCTTGGCCACGACGCATAAGTTTGCCAACATCTTTGGCGCTAGAAGGAGGGCCGATGTCTCAGGAGCACCCCGCAGGAGCTCAACCCGAGGGAGAACCACTAGCTGATCACCTCCCTTTCGGACTCGGTGATCAGCCCCTCCCTATCCTTAGGGATGAGGGCATCCCGACCCCGACGCCGGATCGCTACTGGCGCCTGTTCAATGAGCCAGGACTCCCTCCCCCTGGATATACTGTAGGACCCTCGGTCGTTTCGCCCGAGGCATTCCTCGGCCTAGCCAAGCAAGTGCAAACCTTAATGGGAATGATGCAAACAATCATCTCGCTCATCCCGCTGATCGTGCAGTCAGCGGCTCCCCCGATCGACCCGACACCGCAAAGGCCAAACGGGGAATAGGTCAGGATAGGAGAAGCCCGAGAGTAAACTGCAACCCCTAGAAACCTCCCCGAGTAGAGCGCGCCCGCACCTCGCCAAGTCACTTCATCGCTTCCCGAGCCTGACACCTTATCATCAGACTTGACGGACGACTCATTCAGGGTCCAGCTGTCCATGGTCAACCATCGCCTAGACGAGTTCCAACACGAATTCCAAAAGTTGCGCGGCGAGACTAGGGAAAGCAGTTCGGGTAGATCCCCTTTTGCTCAGGAGATCTAGGACAAGCCAGTGCCGCTCAATTTCAGACTCCTAGTACTAGAGATATACGATGGCGGCTCCGACTCCACGGAACACACCGCTGCATTTCGGGCTCAAATGGCCCTTTATGGCACTTCCGACGCCCTGATGTGTCGGGCGTTCCCGACTACCTTCATAGGACCGGCGCGGGCGTGGTTTAACCGACTACAGTCAGCCTCGGTCTCTTCTTTTGATCAGCTTGCAAGGGAGTT